CACAAGTGTGGCTTCCTCATCACAAGTCATGAAGCTTCACCTTGGAATCCTGTCCTGTCTTTTTCCTCATTGCCAGGCAAGACTGTTGGGTTGCTTTGACTGAAATCATTTGCTCTTACCATAGCACACAAATACCTGAGTGTCCTGAGTCATATGTCAAGGTGTACCACACCAGGCTGCATGTCAGAAAGCAGCACGCATCACTAGAGTTGCTGAAAGCCCCAAATACTCATCATTTGGACTAGGTGGTTCACCTGACAGTGTCATTTTTGTTGATTCTGGATTGGTGATGCACCCTCTGAAAGTCTGGAGGTTCCTTTTATCCCCATGCTACCAGCCTTCATTTTAGTCACAGATGCATCAGCTATGGTTTTTGGGATTCATATCGGGTCCCTGCAAATTCAGGGTCTTTGGTTGCCTTGGGATCTGATGATTCATATAAGTGTCAGGGAATTAAAAACTGTGCAGTCAGTCTGCTCCACTTTCCTCCAACATATAGTAGGAAAGAACTTGTGACTATGATTTACATAAACAGAGAGGAGTACAGTCAACCCAACTATACCAGGAGGAAATGTGCTTTGGGGAATTCCCCATAACTAGTTCATCTCAGGGCTTTCAGTTGATCAGGATTTCTGCTTACCTTCCAGATACCCTCAATAGAGCAGGACAGCTCTGACTACACTTAGCATGTTTTATGCCCAGATATCACCAGATCTTATCTTCCAGTTCTGGAGTAATATCCATGTGGACATATTCACAACAAAGTCCACTAGAAAATGCCATTTGTTTTGAAACCAGGTTCATTGATAGGTGTATTCTGTTACACTGAAAGGATCCCCATCTGTATGCCTTTCTTCTGATTTCCTTGCTGCCCAGAGTTTTGTTTAAAGTCAAACAAGGCCATGCTCATCTCAACCTTAGAGCACGAGTGTGGCCTTGACAATACTGGTTCTTGACTCTATTGAGCTGGTCAGTCAAACCTCTGCTGTCTCATTCATTGGATTTAAATGTGATTTGCCACTTTCTCCATCCCAACTTCCAGCCTGCATGTCTCTAGCTGCCACATGCTCTTGCGGGAGTGAGGAGACTTTGCACGCTCCCCTGCCCCCAGACCCAGATCGGCCTGGGAACAGGGAGAGTGCACGAGGACTCCTTCTGTTAGGCACCTACAGGGACCTGCCAGCTGTTTTAAAACAGCTGGCATTTCTCTCAAGGGGGCAGGGTGAGGAAAAGAAGGGGAAGACTTCTCGCACTTCCCCAGCCCAGGCCAATTGGGGGTGGTGGAGCACAAGACGTTTCCTGCCCCCGCCCCTTCTACCAGAGGCTCCGCCCCTTCCGGGGTGGCCCAAATTTCTGAAGTGGCCCCCTTTTAAAAATTATTGCCCACTCCTGGCATATCCTCAGAACATGCATGCCTCAGCCTTGTACTCTACTATCATCTATGCCTAAAACATCAGAGTTTGGAGATTACCTCTGTAAACATACATCTGGTAACTATCTCAGCCTTTCACATCTCGGTGGATAATAAATCCCTTTTCTCTGACCTATTGTTACCAGATCCCTAAAAGTATGATCAGACTGTAACCACATGAACAAGAGCCTATTCCACCTTCAGTTCTGAACTTGCTTCTAGAAAAATGAATAGGACTGCCATCTGATACTTGCTCTTAACTTCACCTCTCTATAAATATGCTATTACTTGCCATTATAGTGGGCAAGTGGAATTCCAGTGTTAGAGCTTCCCTATACAGTTTTCCATAAGGATAACATTTATCTCTGCTCTTGTCCAAAATTTTTCATCCAAGGTAGTTTATAATTTTCATTTTTACCTACATTCCTCCCGATATCCCATATGAACAGAAATTAGGAGAGACTTAAGTTGTTCAATGTGAGAAGGCTTTAGTTTTTAACCTGAAGAGTATTAGGTTCTTTAGAATCTACATGTAGATCTCCATTATGGTTGTGGAAAGGGTTAAGTTTTCACTCAGCAAATCTTATTCTGTAACACTTTATTCATGTATTTATGCTACTGGTTTGCTAATATAACCTTGCCAGCTAGAGTATTGTGCATTCTACTAAAGCACAAGCAAGTCTGGTGACTTCCTTGGGACAAGTGCAGATCACAGCTATATGTAAAGCAGAAACTTCATCATCCATTTACATTTTTGCTTCTCATGCCATTTACCATCAGTCCACAGACAATATCAATTTTGGACAACCTGTGGGTCACATTTGGCCTGTCTGACCCTTCAGTGCAGTCCCTTGAGCACCTACTGGAGAGTGGGGTCAGGACAGCGTTACTGGGAGGAGCCAGCCCAACTCCTGGGCGGCATGGTGAACAAGGACAGCTAGCCATACAATTTCCTTCCCCAATGTGGCCCTGAAGCCAAAAAGTTTGTCCACCTCTGAGGTAGACTGAGCTCACCTCCATGTTCATTTGCTTGTGAGTTACCTACAATGGAATGGACATGTACAAGCACTCGAAGAAAAACTGCTAACTTTCTGTAACTTGTTCTTCAAGATGTTTTGCACATATCCATTCTATCCATGCTCTCCGCAATATGGCTACGTCTACACTGGCCCCTTTTCCGGAAGGGGCATTTAAATTTCAGCAGTCGTCGTAGGGAAATCCGCGGGGGATTTAAATATCCCCCGCGGATTTCCCTACGACGACTGCTGAAATTTAAATGCCCCTTCCGGAAAAGGGGCCAGTGTAGACGTAGCCTATGTGTATCTTTTTCCAATAGTTCTTTTGGAAGAGGCTTTTCTGAAATTTGGCCCATCTACACTGGGCCAAATTTTGGAAAAGCCTCCTCTATTGGAAGAGCTCTTCTTCCTTGTGGGAGGAGGGACACAGGGCTTCCGAAAGAGCACATATGCTCTCCTGTAGTGAGATGTAGCCTCAGGATTGTTAGAACAACTCTATTCTCTTAGAGTATGTCTACACTACAAAGTTAATTCGAACTAACAGCCGTTAGGTCGAATTAACTTTGATAGGTGCTACACATACAAACTGCTAGTTCAAACTTAATTCGAACTAGCGGAGCACTTAATTCGAACTAGGTAAACCTCATTCTACGAGGACTAACGCCTACTTCGAATTAACTAGTTCGAATTAAGGGCTGTGTAGCCATTTAATTCGAACTAGTGGGAGGCTAGCCCTCCCCAGCTTGCCCTGGTGGCCACTCTGGGCACCACCTGGGAAACTCTTCTGCCCCCCTCCTGGCCCCGGAGCCCTTAAAGGGGCACGGTCTGGCTACGGTGCC